CAAAATAAGGCGGTTGTACTAGCTGACCTCAAATTCCTCCTGTCCTTTAACTCTGTGCTTTGTGCCTCTGGGACTGATCTGTCTCTGCTCCCGGCAGCTACAGGTGGGGCAATAGAGCGTATTCTTTGTCCGTACCTGGCCCTGGGGTGGAGCTGGGGGTTGCCAGGTTGATACTGCCATTCACAGCCCCTCAAATGGTGAGTGGAACCAGCTGTCTCGAATTCCTCCTGTTATTCTCTGCTATTCGGGCATGACCCCAATGTCTAACACCTAACCCTGCCCCCGATAACTCCTTATTCATGTCCTGTCTGATACCCGCTTCCAGACCTCCACGCGGGGAGGGGAGAGCTCGGGGGCCTTCTTGGTGTGAGGGGCTCCCTTCCCTACAGTGACCCATCAGCCTCGGGCAGTCCCTGCTGTGGTCTCTGGTCTGAGCTGGTCCATCTGGGGAAGCAGTACCAGAAAAGGGGGAGGTGGTATTGTTGGACAAGTAAACACACCAACTACGCCATTCCTTAGGAAAGAGACCAGCGCCCACTTGCTTTATAGGGCAACGGAAAAAGAAGGCATATTGCCAGCGATAGCCTCGCAGTTTCACATCGCTTCATCCCTCTTATCTACCACAACCGCGTGCTGTTTCCAACCATGATCGTGAGAACTCATATCTAATGCCTGGGAAGGAGAGAATGTTATCGCTATGGATCCTAGGAAGAAAACTAAGAAAGAATAATAAAAAATCCCCTTTACACACACTAAAATCCACCTTACTTACAGTTGTGTTAGCTAGAGCAGAATGAACACATTCTTATTGTAAAACTTCAACAAATATTATTTTATTTATTTTTTTTGAGGCAATTGGGGTTAAGTGACTTGCCCAGGGTCACACAGCTAGTGAGTGTCAAGTGTTTGATCTGAGGCTGGATTTGAACTCAGGTCCTCCTGACTTCAGGGCCGGTGCTCTATCCACTGCACCACCCAGCTGCCCCCAACGAATGTTATTTTTTAAATAATTGTGTAGCAAAATGAGTTAAGATCTGATAGTCAAGCCAGGAAAACCTGGGTCCAAGTATTAAGGAGATAACGTGGATAGCTCTGGGAGAGGAATTTCACTTCAATAATGCAGAGCAACAATTGCCTTGGAGTTTGAGTTCTTAAAGCATTGTCTGGGGCCTTGGGAAGTGGAGTGACTTAGCCAAGGTGACTCAGCCAGCATACATCAGAGGTGGGACTCGAACCCAGGTCTTCCTCACTCCCAGGCTGGTGCCACCAAGCTAGGCTGCCTCTCTCTTAGGTACATAGAAGGTAATGGGGTGGGGGAAGGTGAGGGAATTCTGGGATAAGCTTGGAAGGAACCTAGTGATGTTATGATGTGATGGTGAGGAGGGAGGGTATTCTGGGCATGGGGAAGTGAGAGAGGCTGGAGATGGAGGGTCATGGAAGGAGGGAAGAAAAGGAAGGAAGGAAGGAAGGAAAAAAAGCTTATTGGGCGGGACTGTGGAGTCCTCCAAGGACAGCAAGAGATACAGATCTATTTATATGTGCGTGCGTGTGTGTGTGTGTGTGTGTGTGTGTAAATACATACACTTACATGGTCATCTATATTCTTTGTGTCTATACCTTTCCAGCTAAAGATACATTATATAACACAAATTACATTTCTCTCATATTTTGTCTGTATGCATATGTATGCAAATACATCATTGTACACATATAACTTCATACATATATGTATACATATATACTTATGTGTACGCACATACATTTTTAAAAAATTGCCCCCAAATGTGTATATGTAATATTTATGATATATATTATATCTGAGTATATGTAATATATATGTGTGTGAATGTGTATGTATATATGTATATACGTATATATGTATATATGTATATATGTATATATGTTTCAGTCACGTCTGAGTCTTTGTGACCCCATTAAAGGCTTTTCTTGGCAAAGAGACTGGAGTGGTTTGCCATTTCCTTCTCCAGTTCATTTTACAGAAGAGGAAACTGAGGCAAACAGGTTTATGCTAGTAAGGGTCTGAGGCCGGATTTGAACTCAGGAAGATGAGCCTTCCTGACTCTAGGCCTGGCACTCTGTGCACTGTTGCACCCCCTAGATGTCCTAGATACATACATAGGCACACACACATATGTGTGTATTTCTTTGTGTCCTCAGTGCCTAACACACAGTAGGTGTTTAACAAATGTTTGTTGAATCCAATTTGATGATCTCTGGTGGTAATGCTGAGATTTTGGGGGTGCCCTCCCTTTCTCCCTCCCTCTGCTCCTCTCACAATCTCTCAGGTCTTTGTCTAGTAACCTGGGGCTTTGCTTCCCTAGTCTAGGGAAGGGTTCATGTGCTCATCACCGACCTGCCAGCTTGCTGTACGATGTTGGCCCAGAGCTTGCTCTTAGATAAGCCTTGGTTTTCCTCATCCATAACTCTAGGGCCTCGGGCTCTTTCCAGCTAAGTCTGGGGTCCCATGCGAGGAGGAGGTGGGCCAGATGGCCTTGAAGGCCCCTCCCAGCTCGGCCATTCCACCCTAGAATGTGTTACCCAGGGATCTGGAGCCTTGACCCAGGCACTGGGCCCAGAGCTCCAGAAGGCCTTTCAGAGGCTATTGGCTTGGATGTCTTACTCCGTGTGCTCTTCATAAAGCCTGCTACTCTGCCCAAAGCAGTGGCCTTTGACCCTGTCTTCCCAGCCTCCTTCCCTCAGCAGTGGGTCGGGGGTCCCCTTCAAGGCTGTCTCCTTGCTGCCTGCTGGCCTTACTCTTCACAGTGGGTGTGACTCAAGGGAAGGGGCGTCCACTAAACTTCTCCCGGGGGGGGCTGGATGGTGCAGTGGATAGGGGTGCACTGACTCGGGGGTGCTACTAGTATGTGTGTGGGGTGCCTATGGTCAGTCAGTCACTAAGGATTGGGGGTCCAAAGAAAGCCAGAAACCCGGCCCCTGACTTCAAAGAGCTCACATTCCAATGGGGGAGACAACGTTCAGATAATTAGAAAAATATGAGATACGTAAACTGTGAAGGGCAAGGAAGCATGGAGGATCTGTGGGGAGAAAGGTCAGGGAAGCTTCTTGTGGGAAGTGGACTTTTAGCTGAGACTTGAAAGAAGCTGGGGGCGGAGGACATTGAGAGGTCTGAGGGCATCAGTGGTGGCAAAGAGCCTTGAACAAATCCGCGGAACATTGAGCTGAAGAAGGGAAGACTCCAGGGGCCAGGGCCGCATGAGAGCTGTCAAGTGGAGGAGAGAATGGGCTTGTCCTGCCCCCTGAGGCCAAGCAGAACCAGAAACAATGGAGGCTAGTGCAAGGAGGTGTCAGGGGCCTTACCAGAGGCAAGCTTCCTTAGGAGGAGCGTTGGTCTTGGCACAATGGAATGGGCTGCCTTGAGGGGCCTGGGTAACCATTTATTGGGTACCTGTCAGAGGGGATTCTAGTTTAGCCACTAGCTGCGTGAGAGGATGGGAGCAAAGGTCCCTTCCAGCTTGGAGGGTCTATGCTGGGAGCTGGAGGAGGCCGGGCAGAGGACCGAGGTGGTTGGCCACCGTGTCCAAACCCCCGTGAACATGCATTCCATTCGTGGCTCCCCCCAGATGGGCATCCACTTTCTTCCTGAAGCCCTCCGGTGGTGACAAACCTCCCCAAACGGCCCCTGTCCTCTGGGGACAGTTCTCCTTCCACCGAGCCTCTATCTTCCTCTTTCACTTCCTGCTCCTAATAGTTCTCATGTCCTCCTGCAGTTTTTTCTTCTCAAGGCTAAACACTTCGATTTCCTCTGATTTATCCTCCTGTGCCATGGGTTCAAGGCTGTTTGATGTGCTGGTGGTGCTCCTAGGGACAGTCTCTATCTAGTCCTTCCTAAACCATGCTGCCCAGGGCTGACCGTAGAATTCCAGATCGGGCCAACCAAAGTGGAGGGCAGGACAACTCCCACCTCCTTATTCTTGGAGGCCCTTCCTCTCTATGCAGCTGAAGATCTAATCAGCTCTTGTGGCTGTCCCGTAATGCTGTTGACTCATATTGAGCTTGCCGTCCACTAACACCCCCGGATCTTCTTCAGATGAACTAATGCTTAACCATGCCTCCACAGCCTTCTTCTTGTGAAGTTGACTCCGTCCCTCCTCAGACCCTTATCATCTTTCCTATGTGATTCAGTGCAATATGAGGTGTTTAGATATTGAGGTGGGGAGAGGGAAGAGTCCTTTTAGAACCTGATTCGTATTTGTGGTAGGTACATAGGCCCCTGGGACCTGGAGATAACTGGGTAGGGAATGGAGGCCTCTGGGCCAGAGATGCCATGTTTAATTGCTAGTTCTCTGAAAAAAAAAAGGTTAACATTTTCTCCACTACTCCCTTAAATCAACACACGAGGCCCTGATTCTTAATGTGTACCAATTTCCAAGGTATATGCTCCCCCTGGATATTTAACAATTGGCCCAGCCATGCCTGTATAGTGGAATCTAGCCCACCCTCGTGTGGGGCCAATCGCTATTTGGTGGCTCACTAGCTGGAAATCCTCTGGATCTCCTCTGAACCTCAGCCTTCTCATCTGTTAAGTGGGCATGGCTTGAGAACATGAGTTGCCAACGTCCACTAGAGTTCCTAGGTGCAGGGAGATCCCAGGTGCTCACAGCTGGACCCTTGGTGGTACAGAAGGTTCCAGCTTCCTGGTGGTGGGGGATGGAATAGAAGGAGCAAGCAGGCTCTCTCTTCAGGCCTCGGTCTCCCGGGGCCTGAGTTGGACGGTTCTGCTCCTTCTCTCCTCCCTCCACAAGACACTGTGTCCCTGAATCAATTGACAGTGTCCCACCTCTGGCGCTCACTAGCTGGGTGACTCTGGGCAAATCACTTGACCTCTCTGAGCCTTTCTTCCCTGAAGAATTTGGGGAAAGCAACATCTCCCAAATGGCTCTGCTTGTAAGACCTAGGGTCAGAGCCTGTAGGAAAGTGTGAAATCGGGGAGAGGCCCAGAAAGGAAACAGCACAGCATCTTCACACACAGGGTTCTTTATTGGTTCACACCTCTGCTGGAAAGGCTCCTCAGCCCCAGCCCCTGGGCTCCGGGGGCTTCCCTCATCTCTCCTCCCTCCTCCCCTCTCCTCCCGCCCCCTTCATAATCTCCCACTTGCTTCGTAATCCTTGAACACATCAATCAATCATCCGTCTACTGCTTTGCCTGTGCAGCTAACCCTTACTGTTTGTATATAGAGAAAGGGGCTGGGGGACCTTGAATAAGTCTCTTCCCCTTCTCCTTGCCTCAGTTTCCTCCTCCATAAAAAAGGGAGTTGGCCAGAGTTCTTTAAGGTCCCTCCCGGCTCCAAATCTATTTTCCAAAGACTCATCCTACCTCTGACATTCCGTGTTCTACCCCCATCCCCCCAGCTCTGATGAGCTCTGTCTAGAATTCCTCCCAGCTGTAATGATCTATGTTTCTACAGAACTCCATGTCTTTGACCTCCTTTAGTGTTGCTATGTCACTAGAAGTGGAGGTGAGATCTGGCAGGCAGAGGGTGGGGGAGGTGGGATAATTAAGGCTGAGCTGCCCAGGAATCTCTTTTCCCACCACTGTGTAACCAATTCACAATATTATTTCATCAGTTTAATCTATGCTGGGCTAGGGTGCTAAGCTTTGGGGGGGTTGCTTGGGCATCTTGGAGAAGGCCTCATCCTAGGCCCTTCCAGGTTGGTTTTCCATGGAGTTGTCACGAGCATTCACTTTCATCCCAAGATCACCTTGCCTTCCACCCCTTTTCCTACAGAGAGCTCCCTCCACCCACTCAGGGAGGGATTCAGTGGAGAGGAGACCATATACTTAGGCAGGGGAAGCCATTTAAGTGGAATGAAGCCTGAAAAATCAAGGTCTGGTGGAGAGGACTTTCGGAAGTGGAGAGAAAGAGTCCTGGAGAGACGGGGCATTTGGCCTGTCTAGTGCAGTTAACCTACAGAGACCCCCCACAAAGTAAAAAACCCAGTATGATATAGATAAGCCATAGAGAAAACCCACAGTGTACGCTTAACTGATTGCTGTAACAGACAGTGCACAATTAACCTAGAGAGACAGCCTATGCGAGGTAATCAACCAACCAAGTTGCCAAGTTAGTTGTTAATCTGCAGAGGTAACTGATACTGTTATTAACCTCTAGAGATAACCAAGAAAACTGACTGGGGAGAATTGGCAGAAGGGAATTGACAGAGAACTGACCAAGGGGAATTAGCAGAGGGAAACTTCTTGCTAAGTTAACCTACAGAAGTAACTGACATTGTCATTAACCTCTAGAAATAACCAAGAAAACTGACTGAGAGGAATTGGCAGAGGAGAATTGACAGAAGAGAATTGTCTAGGGGGAATTAACAGAGGGAAACTGACCTTGCTAAGTTAACCTATAGAAGTAACTGACACTGTTATTAACCTCTAGAGATAACCAAGAAAACTGACTAGGGAATTGGCAGAGGAGAATCACAGAAGAGAATTGTCCAAGGGGAACTGACAGATAATTGACAAGGGAAATTGGCAGAGGGCAACTGACAGAGAGGAACTGACCAAGGAAATTGGCAGAGGAGAATTGACAGAGGGAAATTGACCAGTGGAAATTGGCAAAGGGCAATTGATTGAGGAGAACTGACCTTGCCAAGTAAACTACAGAGCCCACCTCCCCTAAACTGAGCGTAATTAACTCTAGAGTTGTCCAACAAAGTGAGATTAATCTACAGAAATAATGGATAGAGTCCAAAGAGGAAATTGATTGAATGTACAGAACTACCCCAAAGGGTGTAGTTATCATGTAGACCCAGCTAAGAAAGTCTCTAGAGATAATGGACAGATTACAGTTTACCTAGAGAACTACCCAGTGGTGTTATTAACCTCTAGCAATAACCAAGAGAGTCTATGGGGAAACTGACAGCATAGTTTACTGAGGGAACACCTACCCCCAGACTACTGTGCTCACAGGGCTACTCAGTGAACCTACTGGGCAGTCACTGTATAATTAACCAACCAAAAGAGGTAATTGAGAGTATAATTAACTGACAGACTGCCCCCCTCCCACCATGTAGGTGACTTATAGAGGTGAATAATAGAGCATAGTGAATAGGGGGTGGCATGAGTCATCCATTCCTCACCACTCTCTTCCCTTGCTTTGACTGACCCTCTTGCCCCCCAACCCTTTATGTTCCAATGGCTAGATGGGTGTGTACTCCTCGTCATACTTCTGCATTCCTTCGTCTGGGAGCAACACCTCCACAGTGAAGCTGATCTTCTTGGTGTGAACAAAGCTGTAGGTGTTGTCAAACCTCAGGACATCTATGGGGACAGAGACAGGGAGACAGGTGGGCAGGCAAAGGCAGTTACATTCTCCTGAGCTTAGAGAGTTGGGTTGTTCTCGTGACTAAGTCTATTGGTCTCCAACTTCCTCCTACCTACATTCTCTTCTCCTTGGGAACTGCCCTCCCTTTTCCTGATCCTGTCACCCAACACTGATTCCCACCTGGCTCCTGCCCCAGCCCGGCTTAAGCTGCCCCCAATGGGGAAAGGCCACAGAGTCTGAGCCCATGTCATTGTCTTGGCACTTGGCAGCCTATGCAGTACTGTGAATACCCACAAAGGAAGTGTAGTAGAAAGGGCATTTAGTAGGTGCCCTGCCTCTCACTTACTAGCTTTGTGACTGTGGGTAAGTCACTCCCTTCTTTGAGCCTCAGTTTCCTTCTCTGTAAAATGGAGACAAGATTCCCTTCCCTGACTTTTTCAAAGAGTTATCGGGATGGTGGAATGAAATAATGACTGTGTAAACTTTAGAACACTAAAAACATGTGCTAATATTGTTAACCCCAAGGCAAAGAGCAGGGTCAGAAGACCATGGCATTTAGAACAGGAGGAGACATTACGGGTCACCTGGCTCAGCTCCTTTCACGATGTAGGGGAGGAAACTGAGTCCCAGAGAAGTTTAATGGCCTCTCAAAGTCACACAGGGAGTAAATAACAGAGCCTGGATTTGAACCCAATTTCTCTGATTCCAAATCACTATACCAAACTGCCCTGTTGAATGCAGGGATTCTGTCTCCTTAGAGTATGGTGAAGGATAGGCCTGCTGCTGCCATGTATGGAAAGATGGATAGATAGAGGTGGGTTTGGGGAAAGGGTGTGTGTATGTGTATGGGGCAGAGGAGAGGGGAGGAGAGGTCCTGAGAGGGTGGAGGAAGGAGGTAGAAAACCACACTTACACACGCCAGGCTCAGTGCAGGTGAGGCTCCCATCCTCAGGGACCATGTGTGCATTGTACCTCTGGCTGGCAAGCACCTCCATCATCTCCCCAGCTCTCTGTCGCTCCCCCATCTTGGTCTTCAGGAACACCCCAAAGCCTACATCTGCCCCATCTGACATGAACTGCCACCTGTAATGGAGCCAAGAGCCTCATCACGCACCCACGTCTGTGGAAGGGTGCCAGGAGCCTTGGGCTGGGGGGAGGCAGGTCCCTTACCTGAGAACGCAGCCAGGGAAGAGGATCTCATACTCCACCTGGTGGGAGGAGCCCCTGCTAATCTGCACTGAGTGCTCATACTGGGTCTTTACCTGGTCCCGCACATACATGGATTTGGGGATCTCACCTCCGTAGTTGATCTGGAAGCAGAATCTAGGGTGAACGAGGACATTGGTGCTACCCTCCTCCATTTCCCTCTCCCCTTCTCTGTTCCTTCCTGCCCCAGCCTGGCCCAGGGCACTATACCTTGGTTACACACTTGGGGTTCCCATCAGGGTCTGTCAGTGTTCCCCCAAATTGTACAGGCAGCTCCTCAGGGCTGATGAGTTTCAGCAAACCTTCCTTCCAGTTGGCTGGGGGAGGGGGAGAAGGAGAGGAACAGTGGGTTATCAAGTGTGAGTGAGAAGCTGTTCACACTTTGTGGGCTGTGCTCACTTAGCTCTGTAGTGAACTACTCTGTCGGGCTAGGGAGCTTTCTATACTCTGCTATATATCTCCGCCTTTTACTCCTCCCAGTCAGTTCCTACCAGGGAGGGATCCGGCCATGTCTACAGAAGCAGCCATCACAACACGACACAACTATATGGCATTTTCCACTTAGCAACCTGTGACGTACGGAGGAAAAAACTGAGGTTCAGATTTTGTGGCATGTTCACAAGGAAATGTTGCAGTCAAGAGTAGCCAAGTTCTTTCCCTTTATTATTATTATTTTTTTAAAAATCACGCTTGAATTACTCATCACTTACCAGCTGTGTGACCTGATGTGTATTACTTAACCTTTTTGGAATGAGAAGGTTGGATTAGACTTGCAGGGGTGGGGAACCTGCTGCCTTGAGGCCACATGTGACCCTCTAAGTCCTCAAGTGCGGCCCTTTGGATCTAAGCCCACATGTGGCCCTCTAGGTCCTCAAGTGCAGCCCTTTGGATCTAAACCCACATGTGGCCCTCTAGGTCCTCAAGTGCAGCCCTTTGACTGAATCTAGGGCCACATGTGGCCTCAAGGCCGCAGGTTCCCCACTCCAGATTAGAGAATCTCTAAGGTCCAGATCCTGGGATCCTCTGAATATTTTCTCCTCCTCCCCTTCATCCTCAGCCCAGTTTGTTTTTGGAAACAGTAGGAGGCTGTTGGAGCCCAGATGCATTGTGTAGCTGCCTAGCAACCAAATGAAACCAGGTCAGACCACTGGAGGAGAAGAGATGGGGACTTAACTACAATAGGGGAAAGCCAGAGGTGAGGAATGAAGAGCTAACGATCTCTCTAGGTTCACTACACTTTGTCCATTAGTTCTATGGGATCAACTTTATCCTGTTGGATATTATTAACTACATTCTATAAATTGGCTTTGTGACTGCTCTGGCTGCTAAAGTGAAATTTAAAAGAGTCATTTTCATAAGAACAGAATGGGAAAGGAATGGCTAGATGTTCATTTGAAAAAGATCTGGGGGCTTCAGAGGACCACAAGCTCCACATGAATTAATAATGCAATATGGCAGCCACAAAAGCTAATGGCATCTTAGACTTCATGAAGAGAGGTTCAGATTCCAGGAAAGACTAGGAAAGGGATGGCCCTTCTGGACTCTGGGCTGGGCATAGCCCATCTGGAGTGCTGGGTTCAGTTCTGGGTGCCAAGATTAGGAGAGTCATTGACAAACTGGATAGGGTCAGAGGAGGGCAGCCAGAGTAAGGAAGGGCCTTGAGTCCATGGCATATGAGGATGTGGTGAAGGAACTGGGGATGCTTAGCCTGTGTAAGACACGATGTGAGAACCATCTTTAGGTCTATGAAGGGTTGTCATGTGGAGGAGGCATGAGCTTTATTCTGCTTGGCCCCAGAAGACAGAACAAGGAGCCATGGGTGGAAGTTACTCTGGGAGAAATTTAGGCCTGTTGTCGGGACAAACTTCCTAACACTTAAGAGTTACCCAGAATTGGACCGGGCTTCCTTGGGTGATATTTCCCTCATGGTGTATGTGTGTGTGTGTGTGTGTGTGTGTTCAAACAAAAGCTAGAACACCATTGAAAGGGATTCTTCTCTATGCATGGTTTGGACTCAAACGCCTCTGGGGCCCCTTTCCACTCTGAGACTGTGGGATGTTGGGACAGGGGTGTCTTTGGGTTCAGGATGCCTCACTGAGTTTTGCTGCAGGGTCACTCACCTCAGCAAGCTTGGTGGTGTCGGGTTACTACACTTTGTAGGGTATCTCTGCAGGTTCACGTGCCCTATCTGAGGTGTTCTATCTGAAGCTGCTGCTTGAGGCTAATTCTTAGTTGGTCCATTGTAGGTTAACTATAACCTTGTTTTTTGGAGGGAATTCAGCTTCTCTAACTTGACTTGTGGGCTAAAAGAACCTGAGATGGGGGAGATTTGCTATGAGATGTGCCTGCCCCTCATGGCGCCCAAAGCTTTGGGGGGAAGTAATTTCTTAGTCCAGTTCTTGGACAGGCCCATCGTGGAGGAGAAGGGAGAGGAGAATGAAGAGGAGGGGTAGGAGGAAAATGAGGAAGAGAAGGAGGAGAATGAAGAAAGGAAGGAAGAGAATGAAGAAAAGGAGGAGGAAGAAAAGGGAAAAGAAGTAGGAAGAGAAGGCGAAGGAGGAGGAGATTGAAGAGGAAAAGGAGGAGGAGGAAGAGGAAGAGGATTCAGACTGGTGGAAGGTAGAGCTACTCACTTCCCAGTACAACAATCTTCCTGCGAGTGTCTTCACTCAGGAAGGGTTTCATGAGATTGTAGCCCACAGGGAATAGTTTGGTGGCTAGAAAGAGAAATGTGGAAAGACTGGATGACAAATTCTGCAGCTACAGCCCTGAAGAAAGCATAATGGCAAGCCTGGACAGCTCCAGTCAAGCAAAAGTAAATAAAAACCAATTGTCTCTGGCCCCTGGGCTGGGTCCTGGAGGAGAGATAAAATTTGGAAAAGAGACCATCGCTGCCCTCTTGGAGCTTAAGAGTTTAACAGAGGAACAGTGGTCGTTATTGAAGCCAGTCTTGGACTAGGTGTCGTGGGGATTGAAGAGGAGCTGACAGTCTAGTTGTGTGAGATGGAACTAACATATGGAAAACAACAGGAGAAAGAAACAGGATAGTGCTAAAGAGAGTGATATTGACCCTTAGGCAGACTGACATGTTGTAGCAAGCACTGGATTTGGAGGCAGGAAAAGTTCACATCCTGCCTCCGACACCTGCTAGTTTTGTGACCTTGGGCAAGTCATTTAACCACTTCATCTTTCAAATGTTGATAGCAACAGCACCTAGTCATGTCTCTGGGTTTTTGTGAGGATAAAATGAGATAATATTTGTAAAGCACTTTGCAAACTTTAAAGTGCCATATAAATGCTACTTTGACTCTGATGATGATGATGATGACGTCATATCAGCCACCTTCAGGTACTGGACTTCTCCGTCCCCACTGTTCCAGTCCTGATCTCCTCCACTTGTCTGGACCTTTGTCCAGGCCATGCTACAGGAGACTTCTCCCACATTTCCATCTGTTGATACACACCCTTTCTTTCAAGACCTAGTTCAAGCGATGCCCCCCCGATGAAGTCCTCCCCAAGACACCTGGGTGAGTTTTCCCTTCCCTGATATCTCACAGCAACAAGGCCTTTTCTGACCCCCCTTCCCAGCCCCTGGCACCTCCCCCACCGAAATTACCTTGCTTATTTTTTATATCTGCTTTTATTTGTTCATGTTGTTTCCCTTGGTAAACTGTAAATGTCACGAGGGCAGGAACTGGTTCATTTTTGTCAAAGTTACCCTGGTGCCTCACACGGTGCCTGGCACAAAGTAGGAGGTCAATTGTAGTGAATTACAGAATCACAGAATTTGAGAGACAGAAAGGTCCATTTTTTGGATCCAATCCATCAAAGAAAGGAATCCCCACTCTACCATGCCCAGTGCCCAGTGCCCAGTGGTCCTCCATCCTCTGTGGAGGGGCAGACCATTCTACTTTGTCACAGTTCTCGTTGTCTGGAACTTTTCGCTGACCTGGAGCCTAATTCTGCCTCTCTCTATCTCCTGTTCTTTGCTCCTGGTTCTGTCCTCTTGGATCAGATAGAAAATTGAATCAAGGTTTGATTTTCAAGATTTTTCAGAGGAGGAAACTGTGGTAAAATTGATTTGCCCAGGGTCATTAGGCTAGCAAGTGATGGAATCTAGACTCGAACCCAGATCTTGTAGTTCTGCATCTGCCTTACAAAGCAACATTTCCATGACAGCCTAAGTTTAAGTGTGTGTGTGGCCAGCCATGGAGAGAGTTGGTAACTAACTTGCCTGTGGTCTGCAAAGTGTTTATTAAGCATCTGTTATGTGTCATGGCTTGGGCTTGGTGCTGGGGCCAGAAAGACAGAGCAGAGATGATTGTTGCCAGCGTCTCTGGGGGCAGCAATGTTGTTCCTTGGCAGAGATGGTATGGGCACTGCTGGTGGCACCACAGCCCTCTGTCACGGGCACATGGGGTGGATGTTTTGAGGGCGGGGTGGGATCACACTTACCCTTTATAATGAGCATAAACTTGAGCCTCTCAGGGTAGTTCTCTTCCAGAAGACTGAAGAACTGTGGAGTCACAGGAGGTGCCAGTTAGACCCCATGGAGCCCTCCCCCTGGCTCTTGGTCACACCTGGTCCCCTTCACTCCATCCCTTCCAGCTCAGAAGCTCCAGGAAGCCAGGATCAGGGCATCTTGGAAGGCAAGCCCTTCCACCTCCTGGGGGCTTCCCCTTCCCCATAACCAGCCCTCTCTGGGTGCGGCCCAGGGAGACCCCTCTTTCAAAACCCTCTCTATCGCAGATTGCCTGGATGAAATCCCTCAGCCTTGTGAGACTCTGGTAAAAGGCAAAGTGCTTGATTTAAAGTCAGAGGACCTGGACTCCAGTTTTGTTCCTGCTAATAATAATTGCTAACATTTATATAGCACCTACTTTGTGCCAGGCACTGTGCTAAGTGCTTTCCAAATATTATCTAATTTAATCCTCACAACAGCCTTGGGAGGTAGGTGCTATTATTATTCCCATTTAACAGATGCAGAAACTGAGGCAGGCAGATAGAGGCTAAATCACTTGTCCAGGGTCACACAGCTAGTAAGTATTTGAGGCAAGATTTGAACTCAGGTCTTTCTGACTCCAGGTCCAAGGCTTTGTGCACTGTGGCTGCCTTACACAGCAAAATTTCCACGACAGCTTATGTTTAAGTATATGTGTGTGTGTGTGTGTGTGTGTGTGTGTGTGTGTGTGTGTGTGTGTGTGTGTTGGTGGGGCAGGAAGGGGGGAGTGCAGTGATAATTAGAGGTTAAGTGACTGGACTTTAGCCCAGGTCTTCCTGCCTCCAAGGCCATTTTCCATGTATGATGACTTTTTCTTTCAGTCTCATTTTAGGGTTAAGAATAAGGACTGGTCTTGTGACTTCCCTGGAAGGTCAGCACCATGATGAAGTGGACAAGGCACTGGACTGGAGTCAAGCGTCCCTTGGTTCAAATCTCACCTCAGACATCTGTAATTGTGCGACTGTGGTCAACTCACTTAACCTCAGTGTGTCTCAGTTTCTCCATGTTTCCTTCCAAACTGAAATCTGTGATCTGGGTCTCACTTCCTCAGTCACTGATACTCTTGGGGAATTGTTTAACACACTGAAAAGTGGAGTGATTTGTTCAGGGCCTCACAGCCAGGCGGGTCTGAGGTAGGACTTGAACCCAGGTCTTTCTGGCTCTGAAGCCATCTCTCTATCCATTCTCTTAATCTCATTTCATAGCTGAGAACACTGAAGCGCAGGGAGATGAAGCAGCTTCTCCAAAGTCAAAGAGTAGAAGGTGTCAGAGGCAGGATTTGAACCCAGGTTCTCACTCCAGGCCTAGCCCTCCTACCTGACCAAACTCTTTCTTCATTAACAAAAGGGATATTTTGGACTCTACTCTCTAAAGGAAGGAGCTCCCAGGGAGTACCTAATTGGTGGGCCCCTCCCTCCCCCCTCCTCCTCCCCCAGCCCCCCAGCAGCCAGACCCACCTCCTGGTAAGTCTCCACTAAGGGTTTCCAGAAGTGCTTCAGGCCCAGCCCTTCACAGTCAAAGATCATCACGATGGTCTCAATCTTCTTCCCAAGCTGTGGGGAAAGGGGAAAGGGGCGGGGGCTGATGAGCTCCTGGGAGGGGCTATATCAGGTGGGGTATGGGGGGGGGGAAATCAGAGGGAAGAACCCTCCAGGCAGAGGAGAGGGGGTCAACTGGTGGGAGGGAAATTAGAACAGGGGATGGCAGAGCTGGTGGGAGGGGCCTTAAAACAGGGGTTGGCAGAGCTGGGAAGAATTCTAAAGGTCACTTAGTACAATTCCCTTCATTTTATGAAGAAATAGGCTGAGATATATATATATATGTGTGTGTGTGTGTGTGTGTGTATACACACACACACACACACACACACACATACATACATACATATATACAGAGAGAGAGAGATGGGCAGTGTTCGCCTCCGGTTACATAGAGTCACAGCAGGACTGAGCCCATGGCCCCCTTTCTCGCCCCTCACCCACTGTTAGTGCCCGGCCTCTCCCCTGACCCCTGGCCCTCACATTCCCTCCCTTTTCCTGGATGGTATTGACCTCCCCAGCTGTTCTGCTGAAGCAGCTGCCCCTCCCAGGCCCCGCTCCCCACCTCCATCCTCACCCTCTCAGTCTGCAGGTCACACTCGCGTAAGATGCGCTCACAGTCCCGCATCTTGGCCTTGAGAAAGTCTTGCTTGGTCACGGAGAAGAGGAGCCCCTTGGGGTCCAGGGGGCCAATGATGTCGTACCAGATGGGGCAGCCATCCCGGTCATATCCGCAGAGGCCCCCAGGCAGGTACTGCTGAATCACCTGAGCAGGGACAGACACCAGGCAGGGCAGAGCTCCAAGTCAGACGTGCTGATATTCAGCAAGGGGCACCTGGGTTCTAACCCTGGCCTTGCTGTGTGACCCCAACCAAATTGCTTCCCCTCTCTGGGCTTAGGTTTTCCCTTCTGTAAAATGATAGGTCGGGAACCGATCTCTGAGGTCCCTTCTGACTCTAAATTTATGAGCCTTCTCTGGGTCTCAGTTTCCTTCTCTGTAAAATGAGGGGGTTGGACTCAATGACGTCTAAAGGCCCTTCCAGCTCCCATGCAGCAGACTGGCATAGATTAGGTACCTTGGGGGGCCCTGGTGGCCTGTGTTCTCCTTCATGTGGTTATTCTCCCAAGGACAGAGATCACACAAGTCAGCCACGTATACAGTAGGTGCTCCATAATAGCACCTCACATTTCTCTAGCCTTCTACAGGGCCCAAAGGGATTTCCTCAACCGTGTAAACTAGTACCAGCATCCCCATCCCCATTCCACAGTTGAGGACAGAGGCCCAGAGAGATGGTGAGTCTTGCTTATGATAAGTGTTAGGATTCGAACCCAGGTCTTCTGCCTTTGAGTCCAGGATGCTTTTAACTACATTCTACTTCTATATATGCATATATATGTACTATTTTATTTTCTTCCCAATTACATGTTAAAGCAATTTTTTAACATTTTAAAAAAAGTTTTGAGCTCAGGGCAACTAAGTGGTACAGTGGATAGAGCACCAGCCCTGGAGTAAGGAGGACCTGAGTTCAAACCCAGCCTTAGACATACTTACTAGTTGTGTGACCCTGGGCAAGTCACTAAACCCCAACTGCTTCACAATTTAAAAAAAAAAGTTTTGAGTTCCAAATTCTATCCCTCTCTCCTTTCCTCCTTCCCTTCCCCTCTCCCTGAGACAGCAAGCAATCCAACATAGTTTATACATGTGCAATCACGTAAGACATACCATTACTCTGTGGTTGCCTATTAGATATTTGTTGAGCGAATGAGTGAATGCATGAATAAATTTTGCCTGCTTCGGAAAAAGAACTATGGAGTCATACTATTTGCTCTCTTTTTCTTTTGGTTTTGTTTCTTTCTCGTGGTCACTCCCATTGGTTCTAATCCTTCTTTACAACATGACTAATGTGAAAATATGTTGAATATGAACGTATATGTAGAGCCTATATCAGATTGCATGCCATCTTAGGATGTAGGGAAGGGAGGGAGGGGAAGAAAATTTGGAACTCAATTTATGAAAGTGAATGTTGAAAACCAAAAATAAATTAGCAAACAAATAAATAAATAAATAGAGTTCCTTCCAGAATCTGAAAAAAAAATTGCCTGCTTCTGTGGTCCTGCCCCCTGCTTCCACAAGCACCTTGGGATTCAGGGGATGCTTGGGCGGTATTGCTTAAGCCTCACCTCTGGGGGTTGCCAGTCGAGAATGTGGTCAATGTCCATGTTCTTCCGAAACTCCACATGCTGCACAGGAGACAACAGGCAGTGCCTGTGAGGCCGGGCCAGGCTGAGAGGAGCTCGGGAGGGGAAGCGGGGATCCCTGTTGATTAGTCTAAGAGGCCAGGAACTGGAGGGGCCACGGCCAGGCGTGGGCAGCTCCCTCTGGAGCTGGTCACGGGCCAGTTGGGGGAGAGGGGAGACTCACCTTGCGGACCATGGCTTCTGACTTCTGCAGGTCGAAGTTTCGAGCTGAAGGAGGGATACGTAAGGACAAGAATGATTACAAAGAGGAGAAGAAAACGGGTCACAGAGACAGTGTGGTGTAGGGGTAGGGAGCCGGCCTCAGGCCCAAGCAGACCTCTGTTCCATACAAGCTGTGTGACCCTGGACAAGTCACAACCTCTCAGGGCTCTCAGACAAGGCTTCGAGAACAAAAGGTGCAGAGAAGGTCCGTTGATAGAGGGAATGTCTTCACCAGGAAGATACTGGAATGATACTAGTGAAATCCCAGGTCCCCCATTCCTGTCGCCCTGTCCCAAGCAGTAACGTCATGGAGCGCCTTGCAATTGACAAAGCGCTTTGGCCATTATAGCTGACATTTCTAGGCCATTTTAAGGGTGAGAAATCCCCTTCCTCATAGCTCTGAAATTGGGATGCAAGAATCTGATCCCTCTTTTACAGATGGGGAAAACTGAGTCTCAGAGAAGTACAGTGACTTACCCAGGGTCATATGGCTAGTAAGCTAGGATTCAAACCCAGGGCTCTTGGGATTTCTGCTCCCCTAAATTGCCCCTCGACATACTTTCTGCACATGTTCCTGTTTGAGCCTCACCAGCCGCTTTGTGAGTAAGCTTGGTGTAAAATATTCTGTGTGTTTTTACAGGTGTTGAAATCGAGGCTCATAGGACTTAGAAGGGGAAGGTGGCCATAGCCCCCTAGACACAAAGCTGGAAGGCTCTTGGACGCCAGCCAGTCCAGTCCCCTCATCGTAGAGGTGAAGAAACGTGAGGCTAGGGATGGGGTGTGACTCGCCCAAGGTGACCTAGGTGCTAGGGGTGGGGAACCTGGGGCCTCAAAATGTCTGGGGTGATTAGGGATCATTACTATTTACAATAAATATGGCCCCTCTGCCCCGGCCCCTTTCATCCTCATCCTCATCCCCATGATTATTGTCATTGTCATGACCGTCATTGGTAAGATGGGTCAGGGACATGGCGGTATGGACTTCATTGCTGCCCAAATGCTCGGGCTCCATGTTGCCAACGTTATACTACAGCACCCCCTGGTGGGCGTACTCCCTTAACTTCCCTCCTCACCTCGGAGCCAGCGCAGGAAAAAATAATCATCAGGGTTGGGTACATTGGGGAGTACGTCCTGGATGTTTTCTCGCAACTGTGGAGAGAGATAGGCGGGTCAGGCTGTTTCCCCCCCAAGCCGGGCCCTGCTTGGGTCTGGTCACATCCAGTCCTGGGGCCCGATGGTCTCTTAACTGTCAGCTCCAACGGCATTTTCTCCATCCTCATCCTTCCTGACCTCTCTACAGCTGTTGACACTATCTGTCGATCACTCTCCTCTCCTCCTGGAGACTTACCTTCTCTTTCTTCTCTGGATGACTGAAAGCCATGCACGTGTCTCCTACAAAAACTGTCATACCTGCACACATCAACAACTCGGAAACGTAATTTTCTAACCAGTTAAAGCATCTCCCACACGAGGAATTCCAGTGGGTGTCAAACCCACTGAATTTGTTAGAAATATTAAAAAGCAACACTTTCCAATTAAGTAAATTTTTTTTAGGGCTAGGTTTCCCTATCTGGCCCAAGCTGGAATACATGGGCTATTCATATTCAACTACACTGCCATGGCTAAAAATATTGTTGCTGATGATAATGTTTTGGGGAGAACAAAAAGGTTTTTTGTACCATTAGTAAATAAAACATTTCTAAAATATAATTTCATCTTTATCTCAATCTTTTTAATTTCTATTTTTTGTAAGTTATGATGTTACTAACTATTACTATAGGAGTACATCTGTACAATTTATGAAGAAGTAAATATATATATATATATATATATATATATGTTGGGGCATAAAAAAGTTTTATTTTTTCGCTATCAAAAAAATTTGGAGACCACTGGTCTAGTGAAGGGAGAGTCGGCTTCATTTCTGGAAGGCCTCGATCAAATTCCACTTCCTAGACAAATTATTTAATCTCTCTGAGTTTCAGTTGACTAATCAGGAAAACGGGGTAGTTCCTGACTCACAGGGTTATTTCCAGGCTCAGATGAGATGCTGCAGGTAAGGTCAGATAGGATTTTAAGGGAAATCCCACTGGGGCTCCCTCCTCAGGACTTTCCTCTGGTTTTTCTCATGCATCGACCTCATCCTGCCTGGTGCTGTGATGGGGTACACAGGTAGGGACCAACCCCATCTGATATTTAAATCCAGACCCAAGTTTCTACCGAGTTTTATTGTCCCAAAATACTCGCCAGACTTTATCTCAAGTTTCATTGTCCCTATTTCTGGAGGACAGAAATTTAGAGGTGTCCGGGGTAACACAACCTGGTAAATGTTGCCAAAACTCCACCTGCTTTGTCTCTGCCTTACCTCCTCTACTAGACTGGAAGTGCCCTGAGGACAGGTCTCTGTAGCTTGTGTCTTTGCCTCACTCCCTGGACACTCCCCATCCGTGCCTACTCAGGCCCTGCACATAGCACATAGCTAATATTTGTTGAGTGGATGTCAACAGGAAGACTCAGTACAGCTGCCACCAGGGATGGACCAGGGCCTTGAAGGACAGGGATATCAGAGCCTGCCCTTAGCGCTGCTTCTCAGGTCACTCTCCTAGGCCACCCAGGGTGCCCTCCCCTCCCCAAGTCCTTTTTTCCTTCTGTCTGCCTGCCCTCCCCACACTCAGCTCCCGATGGAGTAGCAGGACCCAACGACTGTTCACTGGGCTTGGGCCAGCAGGGTAAAAAGACATGGGTAACACCACTCACCAGCAGGGACTTATAAAAAAATAATAAATTAGGTAAATAAAACATAAAAATAAATAAACAAATAAATGAATGAACGAATGAATAAATAGATAAATGAATAAAGAGGAGAGAGACCTTTTGTTTCGAGCCAGCGAACACCCAAACAACCCTCCCCAAAATACATACTCCCCAACCCCCCAATCAAGTCAAATAGCCAGATAGGGGATGTTGCTTTCTCTGTTTATACACTCTTCTATATCCCTAGTTCTGTGCTGTTTCCCTGATCAGAACGTGAGCTCTCTGAGGGCAGGTACTGTGCTCCTCCCCCGCCCCAGCTTTTTTTTTTTTTTTAGTACATCTCCAGTGCTTAGCATAGTGCTTGGTATGCAGTAAATGTTTAACAAACGATTTGTAGCTGACTCTTAAAAGCCTGCTTCATTTAGGACCCCGGGCTTAGCTCTGCTGAGAAGATAAACCAAGGCCCACTACCCGAGTTCTAATCCAACCGCAGACTCGCCCAGCTGTTTGACTCTGGGCGAGGCGCTTCATCGCTGGCTGCCTCAGTTTCCTCATCTGTGAAATGGGGAGAATAATGGCGCCCACCTGCCAGGTGGTTGTGAGGATCAAATGATGCGACATATGTAGAGGGCTTTGCCGATGCTTATGATTATCATTATTAATGACTGTTATTGGCTGTTAAGTGGATTACGCTCCAGTAGGCAAACCTTTTTCCCTTGAGCGCAATCCCGTCTCTTCACCACTAGGATGACGACGACGGTGCTCTGCGCTGAGTGCTGGGATAGGAAGGGGGAGGCCCTGGCTATGTCCCTTCCCTTCTCGGGCTTCCATTTCCTCAGGCACAAACCAGGCTGATGGAGCTGGTGGTCTTAGAGGTGCCGACATATTCTAACTGTCTTGGGATGCAGGAATGCTTGAACCCCCTGTCTCTCAGGAAGATTATGGAAGCCAAACGGGACAGCGGCTGCGAGGCCTGTCAGGCGCCACAGACATTTTTATCGTTGTTCTGGGCCTGTGATTTTGGTGGGGTGGGGAACTTCCAGTGTGGAAAATCTCTCCACCGAGGAAGTTAGGATCCTATATCTAGGGTGGGCAGGGCCTCAGAGATCATGGAGTCCAGGGAAGAGAAGGAATGGTTCCAAGGCCTTAGACATATCTGGGGCATCGAGGAGACTCATGATGTCCACGGTTCCACGGGTATCTGCTGGGCAGAGGAAGGATTTGAACCCAGATCTTTCTGGCTCCAAGGCTGGCCCCTCTGTCCCCTGTGCTACACAAACACTAGCTGGTCATAATAACATCCTGTTTTGTTGTTGTTGTTGTTCTTCCATAGCCATCAAAATAGCTTTCATATCCTAGGACCGCCAAGCAGTGGTGTGTGCGTGTGTGCGTGTGTGTGTGTGTGTGGGAGGTGAGGTTCTGGGTGTGTGTATGTATGTGTGTGTGTGTATAGGGGATGAGGTTGTGTGTGTGTGTGTGTAGGAGGTGAGGTTCTGGTGTGTGTATGTATGTGTGTGTGTGTATAGGGGATGAGGTTGTGTGTGTGTGTATGTGTGTGTAGGAGGTGAGGTTCTGGGTATGTGGCGTGTGTGTGTGTGTGTGTGTGTGTTTAGGAGGTGAGGTTCTGGGTGTGTGTATGTATGTGTGTGTGTATAGGGGATGACATTGTGTGTGTGTGTGTAGGGGATGAGGTCTGTGTGTGTGTGTGTGTGTTTAGGAGGTGAGGTTCTGGGTGTGTGTATGTATGTGTGTGTGTATAGGGGATGACATTGTGTGTGTGTGTGTGTTTAGGAGGTGAGGTTCTGGGTGTGTGTATGTATGTGTGTGTGTGTATAGGGGATGAGGTTGTGTGTGTGTGTGTGTAGGAGGTGAGGTTCTGGGTGTGTGTATGTATGTGTGTATGTGTATAGGGGATGAGGTTGTGTGTGTGTGTATGTGTGTGTAGGAGGTGAGGTTCTGGGTATGTGGCGTGTGTGTGTGTGTGTGTGTGTTTAGGAGGTGAGGTTCTGGGTGTGTGTATGTATGTGTGTGTATAGGGGATGAGGTGTGTGTGTGTGTGTGTAGGAGGTGAGGTTCTGGGTATGTGGCATGTGTGTGTGTGTGTGTGTGTGTGTGTGTTAGGAGGTGAGGTTCTGGGTGTGTGTATGTATGTGTGTGTGTATAGGGGATGACATTGTGTGTGTGTGTGTAGGGATGGGTCTGTGTGTGTGCGTGTGTGTGTTTTAGGAGGTGAGGTTCTGGGTGTGTGTATGTATGTGTGTGTGTGTATAGGGGATGAGGTTGTGTGTGTGTGTGTGTGTGTGTTAGGGGCAGTCAGGGAGGGGCTCTCTTAGGGGAGGGGTGGCAGAGTGCTATACTCCTGAGCCACCGTGGCTAAAGATGGCAGCTCAAGGGTGCCATCGAGGGCATGAGGATGTTGGAGGAGGAAGCCTGGCCTGACACAAGCTTCTGACTGGGGAGGAGCATGGCCCGGGCTGAGTCCCTGATAGGGCAGGAGAGGCTGGCGAGGGGCACACCCCAGGCTGCTCCTGTCAGCACCCTCTCAGTTTCCAGCCTTGGGACAAGGCTCCGTTGGCCCCTCCTTGTTGCGGGTCTGGCTGGAGCCACCAAACCCCCCTTGCAGCCTCTGAATGTGGATGCGGCCCTGGGGAACGAGGGGGGTCCCAGGGTCTGAGCCCTGCCTGATCCCCCTGCCCTCCTCCTTAACAGAAGGACCCTGTGCTGGGGCTGGGGGTGGAAAGAGCCAGGTGGTGGGCCCCTGGGAGCTGTCCAAAGCCCTCTTCTGAATCTGCTTCGCTCTTGAGCTCTGGGTGAGCCCCTCCTCCCTCTGGGCTTCAGTTGCCTCACCTGTCAGATGAGGGAGCTGGACGCGCTTGACCTTTGTGTTCTGGGCCCCTTTGGCAGCCATCTGACGAAGCTCAGAGCCCCCATACAGGAAGCCCTCCCCCACCTCTCCTAGTCCTGGCGCCTTCCCTCCACTGACCATTTCCACGCTGGCCTCTGCGTTGTTTTGCCCATCAGACTGGCAGCTCCTTGAGGGCAGAGACTGGCTTTTTCCTTCCTTTGTACCTCCAGTGCCTAGCAGAGTACTTGGAACACAGTAGGTGCTTAATAAAAGCGTATTGACCAACTATGGATGGACCCTTTATAGAATCATGTAGGGTGCCTCTATTCACAAATGAAAGAGATCCTACATTTCAGTTACAGGTTAGTGACAATAAAGATGTCGTTGTTTTGCCATCGTGAGTCCTTGGGGATCAGCAGATCTTGTGAAGAATCCCTGGGCTGGGTGATTTTGGGGGGGCGCATTCCAGCTCTAAATCATAAGGTGAGGCAGGGGTTATTATCCCCATCTTACAGATGAGAAAACTGAGGTCTTGAAAGAGCAGATGGCCTGTCCAAGGTCACAGAGCTATAGGAACTCAAACCCAGGTCTTCTATCCATAGGCCTGGAGTATCCCCTCTCCCCTCACCCCCAGTATCACCTGGGATGGTCTATCACCCTTCTCAGGGAAGTGAACAGGGCCCCTGAGTAGGGAGAAGGAGCTCTCTCACCTTGGCCAGGGCCTCTGCCTGCTTGGGGCTCAGGTCCCCAACTCGCCCACTCATGATGATCGGCTGTCTGTTCTCCTGTGCCTTCCAGGAGGATGCCGGAGCCTGACTTGGGCCAACCCAGGGCAGCCCAGCTTTTTGCCAGGCACTTCTGGG